TTGTGTTCTACTGCTTCTCCTCCCTCTTCCTCTTCTTTTCTCTTACCTTTCTTTTTATTTTCGATCCTGAAATCCATTAGGGTTCAAGACTGATAACAGTCCTGAACTTCTACTATTCTATTTCTTGTTTTCATTTTTGTTATGGACCTGTTTTTCTATTTCTTTTCATTAGTGTGTCTAGCTGCCCCTATGGAGGTCATATATGTAACTTTATTTATGCTTAATATAAATACTAGTGCCACTCTAATTGAGATCCACCATTTGTTTCTCCAATTCTCTCCCCCTTGCTGTTCTTTCCTTCTTCTATTCTCTTCTACTTTACAACTGAATTCTTTCTTGTTTCTTTTGATTTTACCTGTTTTTTGTTGCTGAAAATACAAGTTCATGAAAATAAGGAAATTATTGAAGCAGCACAATCCCTAAGATTCGGCATATTCCACATGTACCTTGATTGTCCAGACCACTGTCGTCAAAGTTTAATTTGATCTGATTTAAACAAGGTTGTCACCATTGTTGAGAAGTAGCCTACCCTAGTCAATGAGGAACCTGCTATCCATTGCCATCCCTTGAAAAAAATCCTCTTAATGTTATGGAAGTAACAGAACTTCTAAAGACATGATTGAGTAGAAAACCCAATCAGTTTAAATGTTTTACTAATTAAAAAACCTCATTCTAAATTTTTGGCTAAAATTACTGTTCTTGTTTTCAATGATTATAATAGTCATAAAATTTATCCCTTATTGATAAAAAAAATTATCCCAAGAAGGTACCTGAGAGGATGTACAAGGTATGCAAAACAAACTAGTAAAGCACAACCCTCAAGTAAAAATTATTATTTGAATCTATGGTGAGGTTAATTATGCATGTGTATACTGTATCGTTCTTACGGTTAATGCATGCAACATATAAGCATGGATTTTTTCTGGACAAGTACAACTATTTGCTTGGTTATGGAAACAAAGCCTTCATAGGTATGAAAAGTTGCCTCATGAATTTTTATGCAAAATAATTAAGGACATCATGGATAGGGGCAAATTCTGCCTTAATTCTTCTATGCCTTTTTTGTGAACATTTGCTGAGGTCAATTATTTACCATATGCAGATATCTCTTACTTACAAAAACCTGCTTGATAAATGGTGTGGATAATAGAGATAGAGAACACAGATTTGACTGAGATTCATCACTCATGGGCCATTGCCTTTGTAAGAGTGCACATCTTTGCATGTTAATTACTTTAACTTCCAAAAAAATGTGTATAGTTTCTGATGGTAGAATCTGTTCTCCAAGTACTCAAAATATCTTAAATATGAGTTTGTGTGCACTTGCCAAAGCTTTTAAAGCTTTCGGAAATGCAGCTAGGCTTGCTATCAATTAGGAATACCTTCTTAAGTTCTGAGTATAAGGACTCATGTGACACCAATGATACATGACCTAATTAGGTCGAGGACCAGGGTTTGTTCATTCAAGAAAACATTACTAACTTCAATTTGATGTACCGAATGCTTTCCTGATGTCCCAGCAATTGATACAACACACAAAACAAAAATAATCAGTGGTTCAGTGGTTATTTTGCCACTGTACTAGCTTATTAATATTAATTTGTCATATTATCCTTGTTGGGCATGATTGAATTTGTATGTCTTTTCTTGGTTGCAGTTTCTTTCTCTTCATGTATGTTTCTATTTTACCAAATTTGACTTGGGACAAATTTGTAATTTCTTAACATGTTTTCCTTGTTGATTTGACAGGACAGAGAAAAGGTATCGAAGCTGATTATGTGGATGGTCTCTACTGCTTTGCAGTCATACTCTATGCAGCCCTCTCTTCTGAAAAAAACTGATTTTCATTTCACAATTTTGTCAGAGGAGGAACAATATGAAGAATCTCTTGTTTCAAAGATTTTACGATGGATAACAGCTTCGGTGATTGTTGGAAAGATTTCACTGAAAGTTTATAAAATAAACACCTCTACTTCTCCAGGAATAAAAACCTTACAATCCCTATTGGAATGCATTAAGAATGGATATGGTGAGAGAAGGGAAAACAATTATGGCAATAAGAAGGCATTAGTTGCTACAATTTTATACCTTCAACAGCTTCTTGGACTGAATGGTGAAGTGCTCCCATCAGTTGTTTCTGCAATTTGCCTCTTACTCCTTTCTAATGCCTCTAATTCTACAGGTACATATATTTAATGCCTATTTAATAAGACAACGATTCAAAACTTTGTTGGCTATTCTAACTTTAATTCTATCAATGATATTTTCAAGTAGTTGTCAAGGCATTGCCTATGTGACTAGGCACCCCTGGTTGGGTTCCTCACCTGAATACCTTGACATGTAGCAACAATGTGCTAGTCTAGGAAACTGGACACCTACCTAGGTGACAAAAATCACAAGGTGAGAACTTTATTATAGTATAATCTATATCACTACATCTACTAATATATGTGGAAATACATATATTATTGTACAAAAATAGTCGACCCCCACCCCAAAGAGCCCCCTTTCATATTAAAAGATATGTGCAGTTACAAGAATGACCTTATAGGGTTGAAAGATAAAAAGAACAAATAAAATAATAAGAAAATTGTACAACAAGGGCTATACTAATAATGTACATCAAGATATATCTTCACACTCCCCCACAAACTGATGCGTAGACATCAGCATCAGTTTGCCCATAAGAACGAGGTGTCGACTCTTAGTCATGGCCTCGGTGAAGATGTCGGCAATCTGCATGTGAGAGGTTACATGAGGAAGAGATATAGAGCCAACAATGAAAAGGTCTCTAATAAAGTGACAGTCCACCTAGATATGCTTAGTCCTTTCATGGAAGACAGGATAAGATGCAATCTTTATAGCACTTGTGTTGTCGGCATATAGAGGGATAGGAGTAGGAAGTTGAGTACCAAGATCCATGAAAAGAGACTTCAACCAAACAATCTCACTACAAGCAGAAGACATGGCTCTATGCTTGGCTTCAGTAGAAGACTTAGAGACAGTTTGTTGTTTCTTACACTTCCAGGAGATGAGAGAGTCACCCATGAAGATGCACCACCCAGTAGTGGATCGGCGAGTGTCAGGACAACCAGCCCAATCTGCATCAACATAAACTCTCAACTATATGGATGATGAGGAAGAGAAAAACAGTCCCTGAGAAGTTGTGTCTCTAACATAACGGATGATGCTGCGAACAACAATCATATGAGGTTGACGAGGGGCAGAAACAAAATGACTAACGACCTAAACAACATGTGAAATATCAGGCCGAGTCATAGTGAGATAGATTAGAGAGCCAACAAGTTGATGGTACAAAGTAGCATCAGGAAGAACAAGGCCTTCATATTTAGACAACTTGACATTCAGCTCCAGAGGGGTATCAATATGTTTCTCATCAGTAATTCCAGCTAGCTTGACGAGATCAGAGGCATTTTTTTGCTGACAAATGAAATGCCTTCGACTGCTACTCTGTGGCCTTCTCTTAACAAAAAGAGAGTAGTCAGAGGAACTCTGGCTATACCCGGCTGCAACATCTCGAAAGCACTCAAACCAAGCCCTGGGTGCCTACTTCAAACCATATAGGGATTTCTTTAGGCGGCAGACACGTGAAGAATCACTGCAATATCCAGGTGGAGGCTTCATGTAGAMTGTCTCCTTTAGTTGACCATGAAGAAAAGCATTCTTCACGTCTAATTGGTAGATAGTCCAGGAATGAACAACAGAAACGGCTAGAAGAGCCTGAACTGTGGTGATCTTAGCAACTGGGGCAAAAGTTTCTTCATAACCAATCCCATATTCCTGAGTGTATCCTTGGGCAACTAACTGAGCCTTATATCAATCAAATGAACCATCTGATTTCAGTTTGATCTTATAGATCCAACGACTTCCAGCAATAGAAGCATTTGGAGGAGCAGGCACAAGATCCCAAGTATCATTCTCATGGAGGGCTTGAATTTTAGCATCCATGGCTTCTTTCCAATGAGGACTTCTAATGGCTTGCTTATAAGAACTAGGAATATCTGTGGAAGAAAGTACAACAAAAAAGGAGCTATGGCTTGAAGGAAAACCATAGCAGTTAGGAGGTTGAGAAATACAAGTAGAACGACGAAGTAGAATAGAAGAACTACCATCTAAAATAGGAGGATCTTGGGGTGAAATGTCACTTACAGGAGGTGTAGAAGGAGGATGCTCTGGACCGGGTGGAAGGAGGTTTGTAGGCAGAGGATCTGGGACACGTGGCTGCTTGCGGGTGAAGATGAGAAGATCTCTCTTAGTAGAGGAAGTAGGAGTGTTATCTAAGTCAAAGTCCTGCAAAACAAAGATAGAAGGAGCAAATAATCTAGCAATTCCAGCAAAGAAGGAAATATGTTCAAGAAACACAAATTCTGTGAAATCCAAATACGACGAATAGCAAGGTCATAACACAAGAATCCTTTGTGGTTAGGACTATATCCCACAAAGGCACACATAGCAGATTGAGTAGTTAATTTAGAACGTTCACGAACAGGAAGATGTACAGAACAAAGACAACAAAAAACATGAAGACTGGAGAAATCTGGGGGATGACCAAAAAGTTTTTGGAAGGGTGAAGTGTTGCCAAGAACAGAGGAAGGACGATAGTTGATCAAATACGCAGTTGTGCTGGCTGCTTCTACCCAAAATGAAGTCGGAGCGTGGGATTCTTGTAGTAATGTCCGCACAACACTGGGGATATGTCCATTCTTCCATTCAGCTACACCATTTTGTTGAGGAGTGTCTGGACAGCTGTGTTGAGATTGAAAGTCTCCATCTCTATATTTTCCCCTAAATCTGAATGGAGGATACTCACATTGCACTTGAAGCGAGTTTGCACCATAGTATGGAATAATTTAAATGTCGCAAAGACCTCTGATTTGTGCCATAAAAAATAAATCCAAGTGTATCTAGTACAATCATCTATAAACAATACAAAGTATTTGTATCCCAATCGTGAAGTAATAGAAGCAATCCAAACATCACTATGTACTATCTCAAAAGGTTTAGTGACATGCTCAGAAGTGTGAAGAAAAGGTAAAACATGACTTTTACTCAAACAACAAGCAGTGCAAGAAACATCAAAAGTATGAACAAGAGGAATTTTATTCTTAATTAAATCAGAATCAAACAAAAACTTCAATTTTTGAGAATATGGATGACCCAATCGTTTATGCCATAAATCCCAAACATCATTTCTATAACTCAACAGAGAATTAGACATAGAAGAACTAAGATAAGCCGAGGATGCTCCTAATTGAGACTTCTCAAACTCCAGCACAAACAGATAGCCCAACCTATGCCCCTTCCCTTTCACCTTCCCAGTGTACCGGTCCTGTATCAAGCAACCATCATGAGAAAAGGTGAGAACATTTTGCTTCATCAACAAGTTGACCAACAAAAATCAGATTAGTAGTAAGGTTGGGTACTAAGAGGGTTTTTGAGAGAGGGAAGGACATAGTGGGTGACAGTTTAAGGGATAAGTCATTACTTCCAATAATGTCTAACTTTTCACCATTGGCAGTAACAATGTGTTTATGGTGAGTCTCGGTAGACGGATTTGGTTGATTGAGGTAGGTTCCTGTCATATGATTGGTGGCACCTAAATCTATAATCCAAGCATGTGAGGGGGAAGAACAATATGCAGAGAACTTACCAGGCAAGCCAATAGTAGAGAAAGTAGAGGAAATAGCAGAGGATACCAATTGTCAAACCTTTTCTTAATCCATAGATTCGGTGGAATCACTTTTCACTGAAGAATCACCCTTAGTGGACACAGTGTCAGTTGCATGTCCATCTGTTACCTGATAGGCCCAAGGTTGAGTCTTTTTCTGAGAGCCCTTAATTGGTCGGATTGGACAATCTGGAATGATGACCATGTTGCTTGTAATGGGTGCACACATTCTTCTTCTTACAGTGATAGGCAATATGTCCAAAACCCTTACACTCATAACACTAGGTTTTGGAGAAGTCCTTGGAGGTTGACTTCTTTACCTCCATGAGCAACAAAAGTTGTTTCAGCCCCTATTTCAGTCATCTTTCCATCAAAACTGGCTGCAGTGAGAAGCCTAGTCTCTTCCCCCAATAGCTCCCCTAAAACAGATTCCAGATCTGGAAGTGTTCCCCTACTCAAAATATTGGACCCGATTATCTCATATTCAGGTCTAAGCCTCATCAAAAACTGAGTTAGCTTCCTCTTCTCAAAATGTTTCTGGAGATATTTCACACATTCTGTTGAGTCTGAGGGATCAATATGGACAATTTCGTATTCAGCCCACAAATTAATAAAACCTGAATAATATTTTTGTATCCTTCTATCTCCTTGACTATAGGCAAATATCTCTGATTCTATTTGATACTGTTTAGGTATATTGTACTGTTGATAAACTTTCTTCAGATATGAATACATTTCATAGGTTGTTTTCATTCTTCTCATAGGTACAAAAATATGATAATCAATACAACTAAGAATCCAAGAAACAAGCCTGTTGTTATCTAGTTTTCATTGTTGTAAGGCTTTTACCTCAGTCTCAGTTGGTTTAGTGACAGTCCGTCCAATTCAGGTGTCCTTCCAAACTTTTCTCTTCAACATAAAAATCAAAGTGGAATTTCCACATCCCATAAGTTTATCCATTCATCTTCACAAGAATAATATCCCCTCTATCTGAAGCCATTACAGCATAAAACAGCAAAAAAGAGGGTTCGACAATAATCCAAAAAACTAGTCTGAACAACAATCTACTTTGCCCAAGAATACAAAGTAAAAACTGATCGAAGCAAGCAAGATGAACAGTAATCAAATCCAAGAGAGTCAAAAACTGAGAAAAGAAACCTCTTACTGTCACCAGAGATTGTCCAAGATCCAGCAATAGGAGAAAACCAGACACAGTCCAAAAAAGGAAAGTCTGGACGCAGCTGTCCAGAAGAGATGTATAGATCTCTCTCAAAACTTCATGGATCTCAATGAAAAATTCAGAATATGATGAGGGCTAGGCGACACTTCCTTTCAAATCTTACTGCAAATTGATGTCAAACGAGAGAGATCTAATGAAATCTCTCTTACTAGATGCATAGAATACAGAGAGAAATGGTTCCTGGAAAGATCAAAACAGTCCAGAACCAATCGGCAATAATGGTAGTTCTCAAACTGATCAAGAAAAAAGAGAAATGGATCAGGGAGCAGCCTGCTCTGATACCATGTGAACCAAACTGAGAACAAGAGAGAGAGCAGATTCAGGGGTGTCAAGAATAGTTGACCCCCACCCCAAAGAGCTCCTTTTATATTAAAAGATATGTACAGTTACAAGAATGCCCTTATAGGGCTGAAAGATAAAAAGAACAAATAAAATAATAAGATTACTGTACAACAAGGACTATACTAATAATGTACATCAAGATATATCTTCACAGAGGCTGCATAGATACTAGAAGCCATGACATCACCATGTTGTTTCCCTGATTCCACCTGCCATACTCTGCACTCCCAGACTTAGGTTCTTTAATTTTTCCATTGATATATCCTATCTTCCCCCTTGCGGTGGTGTACAGTTTGATCCCCTTCGGCCACTCTAGGTAATTGAGCCCATCTAGTGGAATGACAGCCATAGGGAAGGTCAAATCTATCCCCTGACTCATCCCATTTTGCATTGAGGAGATACCAAAGGTAGCAGTCTCTTCAAAACTCATGGTAACTGCTTCAGGTCACAACTAATCAGCCACAGAAACAATGGTGCATTACAGTCCAGGTCTAGCACCGACAAAGGTTGATTTTTTAAGTCCACACACAGTCCCACACAAAAGAAGGTTACTTTTCTCCCTTTCACACAACATACTGCTACTGGGAAAAACATATACTGCATCAAAGAACTGTGGAACAATCAACACTCAGACCTAACAAGGCCCTGCAATCACCAGGGTTTCACTTTACTTTACAGCAAATACAAGTCATCACCGACCTACTAACACACCACAGGGATCATAGGATCCACAGGAAAAAAAAAACTAAAAACAGGTTCTAATCACCTCACATCAGTCACATGAACCTGTTACAGGTTTTTATCTTGGTACACGGCCAAGATAAAAAGAAAAAAAAAAATCTGAAAAAAACACCTCTCAGATCAGTCCGATGCTTTTCTCTGACTTCTTCAAAAAGAAACCCAGCAAAGAGAATAAGAAATATTTGATCGATCTTGCTTTCAGAGGTAATAGACCTGCTCTGATACCATATTAAACAAAGAACAATGAGGAAAGTTGTAAAAGAGGAGAAGAGAGGAGAAGGTGAGAGCCAAAAAGTCATGCTGGTTGCACCAGCATTAGTATTTATATTAGGGCAACCAAAAAATAAAGTAAAAGTACAATATTGCCCCTGTGACACTAAAGCTGAACTTAGGACAGTCTTTTAACATTAACCACAAAAAAAGAAATGTTTAAATTTAAGAAAATGATGCAATTTTGCATGCAAGTTAACCAAAACTGCAAATCTGCAATAAAATTATGATATAAAACATATAGTGCATAAGGGGGTTCAGGAGCTGACTGCCTTTGCCCCTTGACATAGGAAAGTGTCTTGAAGTCTACCATCAACCCCTCATTTTCAAGTTCAAGAGCCAACTGCTGCTAAGTTATATTCTCCCTAGTCCCCAGATTGACCATATGGGGGTACCATTCTTAGCCAAGGAAGGAATTGATAAAGTGGTCCTGTTGATTCCTTCTGTACGCTTGTAATTACAACCTTAATTGTGTTTCTCTCTTTTTCCTGTTCAATTCTCTTTTTATCTACTAAAGTTTTGTTATTTTATGAAGGAAAATGAAAATAGCAGTTTATTCATAAAAAAAAAATTAAAATAGCAATTGTGTACTGTATCATAATTAACATTATTCGTTTTCTTTTGTTCAGGATCTGAACTATTGCTTTGCAATCATGGCAGTCTTGTGGCTTCATTATGTTCAAAGATACGCTGCCCTGCTGAAGCTAATCCTGCCTGGAGATGGTAGGCATGTCTTTTGTATTCGATGTTTCATCTAATCATCCTCCCATTCCATTCCTTGTTTCTTGTTAACCCAAAGGGAGAAAGGAAAATGGAAAAGTATAACAAGGAAAGAAAGTAAGGCTTGGTAAATTGTTGGTAAAACTCCAGCAGCAGGCTTATCCATATCTAGTGTAGCAAACCTAACAATCTGTTCCATAAAGTGTTCTGAGACCTAGCCCAATCAGGACGTTGTAGCATTTGACCGGTGACCCAGTCTCATAGGTTTTGAAATGATCAGTTCTCTGGACCACTGACTGGTTCAGGATTTCATAGTTTATACGATAATTGTTTTAGGCTTGTATTGACATAAAATAGGTTTTAAACTGTCAAATTTGAGTTACAGCTTTTAGCTTTCTTCTCATGATTTTGTTTGTTTTTTTTTCCTGAGTGGATCAAAGTGGTCAGTCAGCCTAGATAGTGACATCCATTGACCTGTGACCTCCCAGCCTCAGCATGTCTACAGTCAGGGTTCCATTGGGAGCAAGTCGAGTGGGTTGGGCTGGGTCTAAGCTCAACCCAGGCCCAATCCAAAGAATTGGACCTAAGGCCTGAGCATGGACCAAGCCTGATGTTAAGCCCGATCTGTTCAACCTGGACCCAGCCCACACTGGCATTTGACGCACTCAGGTTGGGCTTGGGCTCAGGTCAGTAAATCAGCTCACACTAAATTTGATATAAATGTATGTGTATATGTATGGATAATGTATGGCTTATCAAAAACAAAGTATGCATATATGTATTTATGCATGCAAATGTGTCTATATATACATACATATATATAGTGAGGCTGGGTTCAGGCTACGTAAGGGCTAGGCCTAGGTCCAACTTCAAAAGTAAAAAGCCTGAACTTTTGGGCCCAAGTCCAGCCCTTGTAAAATAGGAGGGTGGGTTGGGCCCTCCAAGTTGCACCCTTAGGGGTCCAGAACACTGGATCTACCATTTTTTAATGGTTCAACAAAATGCAGGTAATACCTCAGGTACAGACATAATGGTCACGGTTATTCATTTTGGAAATCTTAAGGTGGGAACCATCAGAAAAAGTCTCATCCAGCCACACATTGCTGGCCATATTCATCCAGCCACACATCAGAAATATCAGTGATGTAAAGTACAACCGATGTTCCCAATGTACGGCTGTATGAACGTGACGAGCAATGTGTTGTGGTCAGCAGATCTGAACTCATGTTCTACCTGGGCACTTAAGCTGCGGCCTTTCACTTGTAGGGTACAAAAAATGGCTTGTCATAAAATAACAGCATTTTTATCATGTTATTTATGGTTCAGTTTCCCATATTGGACAGGTCATTTTATCAGCCATGGAGAGACCTTTCATTAGATTTGACCGATTTACAGAAGATGGATGAACGGGTTGCTTGTCAAAAACTACTAGTCATATTTGCAAATGCCCTGGAAGGGAAGCGACTAGAGTTACCAGATCTAAATATAGAGAATTCTGGTTTATTTACATGGGGAAGATGATTTCCCAGGTGAAATAGATGGTTCTAAACATTTGGTAGCTCAGTTTTTTCCTTTTTTTTATTTTGTATTATCATTCTTAATCTCGAGGTCCTTGATCTTTTCAATGCATTTGTAAATGTATTGATTGTATCTGTACATTATGTTGATGCATTATTTTGTTTTCCTTTTCAATGTCTGTAAGTTCACACATTTACCCACCGCATTTCTATGGGTGTGGAATGGTGCATCTTTGTACAATATTGTAGTCATGATTCATCCTTCATGAATACTTATTTTATTTGTGCTTGTGAGATGAAGTGACTGCGATGGTACAACTGGGCCTGCGGCCTGCATCCACATGGCTCTTGCAAATGGGCTCGTGAAAAATTGTTCATTAAACGATTCAATCCATTTCTCACATAAGCCTCATTGTTTCCCCTCATATCTCTTTAATAATTGTCATTCTCCTAAAAATACCCCAATGCCATAATTTCCATCTGAAACTTTGATACCTACATGGGATGCCAGATGAGAAGAGTTCGGATCTGCTGACCACATCAGATGGCTACAAATGTGTTGTCAGTTGTGAACAGGTACGAACTCATGCCGGAAATCAAAGATTGTTTCATACTAGTCCAAAAGATTGTTTCATCTAGGTATTGTCAGCATACGAAGGATGTAAGTCGATCACAATGGATGCAGATAGAAATGCTTAAAGGTTTTGATCTTTTTATGTATATGCCTAGAAGGTTAGAACTCAAACCAGATGGCTCATAGGCTAGCAACTTATGCTTGTTTTGCCAAACTAGACGGGTATGTACTTTCGTTGTGATCTTTATCTTTATTTGTTATTTCAAATGAAGTTCTGTTTTTTGCAACCAAAAAATAAATTAAAAAGGAGCCATGATCGTTCGTCCAGCCTGCTTGACTGGGCCTATAGAAGCCATTCAAGTGGGATTTCTCAAAATGAATGTCTGTGTCTCTGCCAGTTTTCTCCCCTTGTGATCTAAACTGTCTAGCTCTTTCTTATACCAAGTATGTAACGAGTTTTAAGCTTCCTCGTTTCATAAACTGAAAATAAGTGCAGTATAATATGATTTTTCTTGTCATAAACTTGAAAACATTTCGCAGGCAAACCTTGTTGTAGTTAGAATTACTCGGAAATAATCAAATAGAATGGGATAAATTGCATTAATCAAGAAAACTGACTTTTGGGCTTCCGTACATGTGTATTAAATTTGTGGGAAGATATTTTTATTTTCAATGTGTGGTTGGATTTTCATGTTTCTACAGTGTGTAGAGCTTTTGCTAGGGGTGGATTTGAGCCGAGCTGAATATTTGGACATTCAAGCTTGGCTCGTTGAAATTGTGTTAGGCTCGAGTTCAATTCGAGCTAGAGATTTGAGTTCGAGTTCGGCTCGGTTCAAAGCTCACAAGTTCGAGTTTGGTTCCACTCGAGCTTGACTACAAGCTAAGTTTTTTTCTAAAAAATAAAAATATTTTTTATTTTACGTACAAAAAATTAAGAATTATAAAAATTATTTATTATTATACTATAAAATAAAAAATATATGTATAAAAATTGTTTTTATTTTACATATAAAAAATAAGAATTATAAAAATGATTTACTATTATACATAAAAGATAAAAATAGTATATATATATAATAAATTTTGTTTACTCTAAATATTTTTATATATGTATATGTATATGCATATAATAAAAAATCATTTATTTATTATATTAGGCTCGATTAGGCTCACGAGTCGAGTCATTGAACTCAAGCTTAACTTAAAACTCGATTTAAACCAAATCGAATGACTCATAAGAAGTTCGGCTCGTGACCACCTTTAGCTTTTGCTTGCAGAAAAAATCCCGATTAAAAGAATCAAGAGCCCTTAAAGATGGATTTGTGCTTTTGCTTTTTTAATCAACAACATTTCTACTTCTTCCGAATGATTGATGATACTATTAGGATAGTCTTTTTATTGTTTTGTAATTCTGCCAGTCAAGTTAATCTATCGATCACCGAAAGGAACTTGTAGTGAAAACCCGCTTCTATTGCGGATTTATATAAATGAATGGCGGGTAAAACTCTGGAATGAACTCTGATATGTGGGAACTTGTCATTTAATTCCAGAGAAGAAGATAGAAAAGAAGCTATATAATATATTCTTTGGATGTCGGTTATTACTTATATAGTCCCAGATCGGCAGCAGTAGCCTGAAAAGTTGGTAGTGGGCCTCTGACCGTCAGTTGCCCAGACGCACCTTTCTTTTCTTTTGACTGTCAGCCATCCCCTTCTGCAAATTGCAAAATGCGTATCGGGCTCCATTGTCGGCTACCCAATTCCAGTGGTATTAAAAAACAAACCATTTAGTTTACATCAATTGAAGAAACAGCAAACAAGAAGAATTGGGGCTCCTAACTTGAGGGTTCATAACTTCAATCTACCAAAAAAAAAAAAAAAAACTTGAGGGTTCTTTGGGCCAATCATCTTCTCCTCTCCTAACCCAGCAAAGCAAGGGGGCCAAATGTTTTCCAATTCTATTATTCTAAGGCTAGCCTGAAGCCTCGTTTATAAATAATGAGAAAGCAAATCTGTTTCCCCAGTCTCCTTCCCACTCTCAAGAAAACCAAACCCATCACCAAAAAGTTGGAGAAATCAGAAATGGAATTCCAGGCGTTCCAACCTTCTCCATGGCCTTTCTTCTTCACCTCTCCCTTTCTCTTCCCATCTTACATCATCCCTGAAAACTATGTCCACTGGACTGAAACTCCGGAGTTTCATATTTATACAGCCGACTTGCCAGGTAATCTTCCTCTCATCACAGATTCTTCACGCTCGGTGTCGGCCCCTAAAGTTCAAGTTCAAGTATCTATCGTCTCGTCTCCTTCCTGCTAATGTTTAGCTTCTGTTTTGACAGGTGTCAGAAAGGAGGAAATTAGAGTGGAAGTCGAGGATTCGCGGTACCTCATAATCCGAACACAGGGGATCGTTGAGGTAACAGAACCCAGCAGGAGTTTCACGAGGAAATTCCGGCTCCCAGCTCTGGTCGATGTGGATAGGATTTCTGCTGGATATGAAGATGGGGTCCTGAGGGTTACGGTTCCACGAAGAGGCCGCTTCAGGATCGATCCTGCTCACTTGCCGGAGCGGCGCGAAATTCTTGCACCGGCGGCTTGACTCCTCTTTATGATTTTAGCTTCCGGCGTTCAACTAAGTTATTATTTCTTCATCAATAGTTCCACTGTTTTTTTTTTTTTTTAATCCAAGGAAGATTTGGAATACTGATTAGACGTAGTGGGTGCTAAAATTAAAGCCTATTTGTTAGGAAATTTGTACGTATAAGAATGAATGAACGAATTCAATGAAGCATTGTAATTGTTAGCTTTCAATTTGAAGCCATATTTGTCATGGTCATGATCGTAGGATTACTCGAAATCGCGGAATCAACAGACCCTCATCCCGGAACAGAAGAGATCGGACGCTGTGATCAACTAACCCCCAGTTCCAGAGTTGAAGATTGGTCGTTCATTCATTTTTTTTTTTTTTCCGTTTGGGGAGTTGGGAGAAAGAGAATGAGGAATCTGAATCTAGAGGCCCTTAACTCTTATCTCCAAGAATTTTTTAACTTAGAAAAATGAATGTTTATCTCTTAATGTGTAATTATATAAATCTTTTTTTAATGATACCCCCATAAAGATAAACTCTAATATATGGGGTTAAAATAGATATTTGATAATTTTCAAAATTCGGACTTCAGAACAACATTTTTTGCATTCAAAGTTCCGACGAAAGAAAAGTTCACCAATACCAATATACTTCTTAATGTAATTATTACAATTTCAGATGTCAGATTTCAATGGTGGAGTAATGCCCCACTGCCGCATGTGAGGGGCAACCTTTTTTTTGTCGTTAGATTAGCATCTAGTCAGCACCATTATGCTGACATGGAATTCCATGTGGCTATGGTGGTGTTTGGACCGACACTGATTTCTCAGTGATTCAAAATTTGTGGAGCAATGCCAATTTTTCAGAAACTAGCACCATATCATAGCTACATGAGTGATTTAAAAAAAAAAAAAAAGGAAATTGTCAAAAAATCACCATGAGTTTTCAGCATTTCTCTAAACTCATCACAACTTTTCAAAACGTCTAAAACTCACCATGCCAATAAGTTTTTATTTTCCAAAACTCACCTTCTATTAGTGCACTGTTAATGTTTCTTAACAGAGGTGTCCACGTCAGCATAAATAACAATTTTATAACCAAATCACCCTTGAATGGCAAGTTAGACGAAAAGGGTCTTTTTCATTTTTCAATTTTCTTTTTTTTTTACATTTTTAGTGTTTTGTTATAATTTCTGTTTTTTTACATTTTTCTATTTTCTACCATCTATAAAATTTCCTGTTTTTTTTTGTATTTATTTGCAATTTCTGTGTTTTTCTATAACTATTGGTGTTTTTTTTACAATTTTATTTTTCTGATTTTGTTTTTCAATTTCTATATTTTCTATAACTTGAAAATAATTTTTTATTTTGTGTGCAATTTCTATTATTTTTTATACTTTTTGTATTTTTATATATTTTATATTTGAAAATATTTTTTGAATTTTTTCCTTTTTTCATGTCTAAATATTAAAATATATGTATATATTTTATATTTTTCTACGAAGGTCAAAATGGTAATATATTAACAGCCGTTAGTCTCTTTAGCGTCAAGTTAATGACATGGTGAATTTTAGACGTTTTGAAAAATTGTGGTGAGTTTAAGAGAAATGATAAAAACTTATGGTGAATTTTTGACAATTTCCCAAAAAAAATTGTTGATTATTTTGTTGTTTGATTGGCTGATTTCTAAGAAATCAGTAAATCAATCAGAAATCTATTATTAAAATTAAATTGATTTTCTTTTGAATGGCTCGGCATCTAACATGAATAGGGTAGATAATTTCCATAAAAGAAATCAATGCTAATAATCAATAGCAATCAAATTCATAGCTGATTTCTAAGAAATCAAATTATATGAAAGCAATGATACCAAACAATCAATTATGTGTAGGAGAAATCTACCACAAACACCTCCTATGTGAATCCACCAGGGACATTACTGAGGAGAAGGGGAGGGGCACTTTATTGAACCGCGCTAAGGCTGACAGAAAGGAGGGATTAAAGCGAGAAACGGAAAGGCAAGTTGGGTCTGCCGAATGGTTGGTTAGATACATTGATTCTTACTAATAAATTAATCACAACTTGCTTGTAGGGTGTAGACATGATCGCCTTGTCGGTCCAATGAATTTGGCTTCCTTCGTGTATGGTTATAATAAGGTTTCTCGTTTACTGGCAAAAACAAAAGAGAGGGCTGAGTGATTTGGGGGTGTTTTGTTTTGTTTTTGCTGCCTCCATTGGATTTGTAAGTTGTGTTTTGAGGTCCTGCAGGCTTATCTATTTTCGAGTTCTGCTTTTGCTTAAAGAATCGTTTACTTACCAAATATATTTTATATTAAGCCATTATTTTTTGCATTTATAAGGCGAAATTGTTGTATTTTGTCTGTTTTTTTCTGAGAAAAAATAAAACTGATTTCATTCATCAAGCATCATCATGTATATAAGAGGAGTCAATAATGACTAGGTTTCTTAGATTAGTGATGCCTGCTACTTATTAATTGACGACCCAAGTTTGTAGCTTTTTTATAGGCCCTGTTCACATTTCGGTAAGCTATTTACCCGTGTAAGTGTTTTCTAAGAAAGACTTATCCGAGTAAATGCATTTATTTATGTTTTTCTATTTTTCATGTAAATAAGGCAATGACCATTTTAATCATAAAAATCTATTATTAAAAAGGGCATTTTTATCCCATTCAAGTGTTAGCAACTTTCCCCCCAAGTGGGAAAGTTATTTACCTACTTAAGAGTCAGTAAGTGATACCTAGGAAAATAAACTTTCCTTGGTCCCTACATAAATCTGAAAAAAGAGTGTGGGATTCTTGGTCAATGGGATTTTCCCCCCTCTCAAAATCTAGAAAAAGAACACCCCCTTAGGGTAAATTACTTAAACAACTAATTTATTTTCCAAGAGATGCTTTAACCTTTGTCATACTAACTTATCCAAATTTCTTGCTTTCATTCTAGGGAAATTATACATATAAATCCATTATTAATTCTCATATCTTCTATTACCATACTACTACTATTAAAATTATGAATAATGTGAAAATCGTCATAAACTAAAATATCCCTATCTTTGAATTGAATCTCATTTAATTCTCAAAGCATTTGAACTATACTTTTTATCATATTAAACTCCCTATCATTTGTATATATTTATACTTACTATTAGACCTGTTCATGGGTCGGGTGGCCCGATGGCCCGGCCCGACCCTCGAACGGGCTTGAACAGACTTTTTGGCCCGCGGGCTTAACCTCGGGCCAAAAATCCCGGCCCGCATAAAATTCGAGCCGGGCTCGGGCCAGCCCGACCTATAGTTAAACCTAAGTAAACCCGGCCCGACCTATAGTTAAACCTAAGTAAAAACCCTATGTGATGTCCATTTGAATAATTTTTTTTATTTGAGAATGTTGTTGATTCACTTGTAGGCCCATTGTTCATTTAAATAGGGGAAAAAAACATATGAATTAAAATAGATAATGTCTATTTGAATAGGGAAAAATTCGAATTTCTTTTATTAGGTCGGGCTTCGGGCTTTTTATTAGGGCCGGGCTCGGGCCCAAGTTGTAGGCCCGTTGGTCGGACCGGGCTTGGGCTCGGGCCTAACATTTTTCTATTAATAAAGAGTCAAAGCTCGGCCCGGCCCATGAATAGGTCTACTTACTATATATAAAGCAAAGCAGTCCGCATCACATGGCATCTCATTTCTCCAAACCCCCCTTCTTGCTCTCTCCTTCCTCGTTCCCCCTTTCCACCACTCCAAATCTGCCAAGTCATCAATCTCTCTCTCCATTCCACTCCCTTCCCATTGGATATAGAGTCATCCCTTGGCTTCTCCTATATTTTTGTTTCTAGAAGTTTCTCTCCTATCAAATAGTTAGATTCTCTTATAATTTTGTTTCCTTGCTTTCCTTTTTTTCTTTTTTTCTTGGCTATGTGATATTTTTTAACACCTCTCCAAATGTGTCACCACTGTTTAAGTGTCCAATATAGAAAAGTGCACAACCAAAGGAAAGCACATATTAGAGCAAGAGAGAATTTGATTTTATGTGATGAATAGGATGGATGAGTAGGTATTTTTTTCTTTCCTTTTTTTTTTTTTTTTTTGCAAAACCTATATTGTGAGGTAGGTTGTGTTTTATTTTACCTTTCTTTCTCATACATAATGCTTCTTTCGTTTCAAATCACTAGAAACCATAGGGGCAGTCTCAAGTGTGTTGCTTCTATTTTTGAGTTCTCAAAACTTTTGTCCTTTGGTGATCATATTCCTCTTTTCTTTTCTTTTTCTTTTTGTTCTCAAAAATGTTTTATCCTTCATTTTATCTTTTTTCACAAATATTTTCTTCTTAGGGGTCGTTTGATTACACTTTTTAGAGGTCTGAATTTGAAAATGTTGCTTTTCAGATCCTCACACTTGTTTGGTTTTACCCCTTAAACTTGATATGAATCTTATTTTCATCTAAAAATAATAGAACTTGGGCCAGCTCTTAACGCGCTCAAACGCGTTTCAAAGCCAGTGCAAGGTTGAAATTGCCCTTAAAATATTTTGAAAATGATGCACGCTACCCCTGTCTTCTCAAACACTCAGATCGCTTCTCTCTCTCTCTCTCTCTCTCTCTCTCTCTCTCTCTCTTTATCTCTCTCTTCCTGGTTCTCTCTCTTGCTCTCTCTCTCTTCACCCTGTCTTCCCAGTTCTCTCTCACTCTCGCTTTCTCTCTCTCTGCCATGTCTTCTCGCCATCACTATTGCAACTTGTAGCATCTCTCTCTCTCTCTCTTGCTCGCTCGCTCTCGCTCTCGCTCTCTCCCTCCCCTATCTTCCCACCACTGCCACCATCGCTACAACATGCAATAGTGGTGGTTCGATGAATAATAATAATATTTTTATTAATTATTAATTATTTTAATATTTTTATGAAATGTTAATTATTTTTTATTAAATTTATTTATGTTATTTATTAATTATTAATTATTTTTATTAACTAGTAATTTTTAATTATTTCACTAATTTTTAAGAATTATTTAATTTTTATTTGTATAAGTTATTAATTATTTTAATATTTTTATAGTCATTAATTTCTTTAATTTTAATCATTTCATTTATTAATGAGTAGTTATTAATTTATTATTTTTTATTTGTATTGTTTCAATATTATTTTGAGATTGAAATTTATTTTTTATGAGATAATGTAAATTGAACTCAATATTTCCAAATAGTATGTTTTATGGTAAAATAGTAAAATCAGT